CAGAAATTACAATGGAGCGGATACAACTAGCCCCTTTATATGGCATTTTATTAAAATTCGGTTTTGTTTTACCATTTTTGGCACACTCTTTACGTTGCGAGGCGCTTATCGCTGGACTTTTATCTAAATAAAGCCTCCCATATGCCTGTGCTGGCTGAAAGGCCGACAAAATCGCTGTAGTGTTAAATTAAAACTGGTGTAAGGCCAATAGAACCGAAACAATCTTGTCGAAGGGGGAGAGTGTCCACTGTACTTGATTGCCGCCCGATTGGGCACCATTCAAACTTAATTAATGCGAAATGTGCAGCGCAAAGAGGCAGTGAGAAATTAACAAAGGCAAATTTATTGAGTGGGCTTGGTGTAAATAGTTTTTAAAATCATACTTGCAGGCGCTTTAGTCGCCCATGTAGGCGACCCATTTACTCACAGGCTTGATCATAAACTGCCTATTCACATGCACAGTAAGAAATTTATGGTAGACCTAGACATCTCTACGCACAAGATTTGACTGAAAAACGATTCATGCCAGGCATAAATCATAGGTACAACATCATATACAACATACACATCATGTCAACACGACATTATGAAAATGTGCTATTATTCATAGGAATTATCTATAAAAACGGAAAAATGGCAATCAGCATGTTTTATTCACCCTTAGGGAATTCAAAGTTTGAAAATTACTTCCTGCTGATCGCTGGGAGGTGAAACTTCCCTGATAAAAATATGACATATGACATATGACATATGACATATGATACATATATATTCTTAGAATACGTACGATAATTTTACAAAATCTCCTCAAGGAATTCAAAGTTTGAGAATGACTTTATGTGCAGCAATGGAAGCACTGCAAAGGGCCAAACAAGTGGTGCCCCCTGGGAGCCGAAATGTCTCTGATACGCAATGGTGGTGCGGGTCTAGGGACCCACACCACTTGGGGCACCACCGGAGCCAAAGAGCCACCCACGTGCCGCTTTTAAGCGCCGGCTAAGAGAGCCTGCTGCCACTTGTTCGGCGTTGCATTGAAATGGAAACACTCTCGTGCTGTTGCAACATGGAAAAGCGGAAAACGCTGCCGGCGAAGCCAGAGAGAGAGAGAGAGAGAGCATGCACGAGAATTTTCCCAGCTGTTTCGGTGGGGAGGGGGCGGTGCATTTTCACAGGAGGTGAAAAGTTCAAGCACTGCAGCAGGCGCGTCCTTGGGAATTCCAGCTGCTGTGGAGCACTCGGAACCGGCATTGCATTCGGCCGAAGGACACCTGCCTACCCAGCAAAATCAATAGTTGCCCGGGTCACTTCGGATTCGCCCCATTCACAGGCTGCCCAAATATCAGAAATCAATCCAAGCGATTGCCAAACTCACCTCGTTCGAATTTTCCACTTGGCTGGCACCACACAATTCGTAGGCTTTCCTTACAGCTTGCTGGGCACTTTTCAGATTTTTCTGGTTTTTTTCAAGCTGTTTTCCAAAATGAAACAAGAAATTGTAGTATGATTTTTATTTTTGGTTTAGCTTGATCATATGCAACTTTGCAGCGACTGTTACACTTTGATTGTTGATAGCGTGCATTTGTGAGTGCGTGTGTGCTTTTGATTTCGATTTGGATTTCGATTTTTATTAGAGCGGGGGGAAAACGAATGCAAATCGATGGAAACCGCCTATTGTTGTTTGGCCGCCAAGGGGCAATGTCACGCAGCTAAATTTGTTGTTTTATTTATAATTGTTACAAATTTTAAGTTTAGCCTGCCGGTCTTTTGTTCAACCGATTTGGCTATGGAAGAAGTTGAATTTTAAATGCTACAACGTGTGCTATCTGGCTAACTAGTTTTCAGCCAACGCTGAAATTGTGTTCTAAATGGCAAACAAAACGCCCACACAACAAATGCCGCCCACTTTGTGGTAGTGGAACAGGCAACAAAAACGCACACGCACGCTCTCTGAGATAACAAAGAAAAGTAACAAAACTTGCGTACTTAATCAAATAAGCGTTATAGCAATCGCATTTGGCCAAAGACAAAACTCGCGAGCGGTCGGCACTTTTATTATTCCTGATATTTTGGTAGCACCCGCGCTCCGAAAAAGCAAAACCGTCGCCTTTCAATTGCGCCAGAAGACTGTCGTTCAATATTGAAAGCGATTCGAATTAAACACCCAGCCAGCTGCCATCGAACATGTTCGAGTTCGAAGGCAGTTGCTTGCCGGTGCGAACAGTTGAACTTTGAACACTCAAAACAAATACTCTTGGCAAGTTTTTCAATTTGTAGAATCCCCTTACTAGTTACAAAGTTTGTTGCCTCTGTAAGTGTTGACTATTTTAAGCGAAATCAATGTCAATTTTCTAATTTCAATATTAATATTAATTTTTAATAATAATATTATTAATTCCCCTTACAGTTTCAGCATTCAGTAATTTGCAGTGCATAGTTCAAAATGAGATTCCTTCTTTGATAATATACTTTTTTTTTATTTAAGTAAAGTAAAACATGCTAGTAGCTCATAGATTAGCTGGATAACTGGCTTAAATGGTTCGATAGAGATTGCATAGGTATAAATCTTAGGGATTTTATAAGGTTTTTTATCAAATATTCTCAAATATTCTTACTTAATAGAGTGGAAAAGGGTTCATAAGAGATACAAGAGACAGATAATCACTTTTAGCGGATAAGCCACGATGACTCAGATGGCTTCTCCACAATTGTACGCAAATCATCTGAACAAGTGTTAGCTGCCACATTTTGGCCAGTGGTGACACAATCGCAGAATATTAATGAATCCAAAATGCAGAAGTGACTCAATCCACGAGCGGTAGACTTTTAATATCGGAAATAGCCAAGAGGTGATAGAAAGCGTAAAACTAACTTCCATGTCCTGTTTCTTGGCCAACCACTTAAATGGTTCATCAATAACGTGACTGCACTGCCTTCAACTGACCAATAAATAATTCAGACTTGTTTCGGAAAACCAATAAAAAGCGGGTCACAAACGAGTTCATATCCTGGCCCTAATTCAAGCCAATTTCTAGGTGGCACCGAACAGGCACCATAACTCACTCGAAAAACCAATTAATTAAACACCAGAAATTATGAAATGAAGAGCCGAAAAGCTGAAACGGAAACGCCGACCGCCGACCGCCTTTGAAATGTCCTTGCAGCTAAAGCATTAGCAATAGCAGTAGCAATCCTTGGACGACCCAAATACTGGCCATTCAGTATGGGCCACGGAAATGCAAATTCTCCAAGTCCCGGGCGCTGGTGCTCCACTTTGGCGCTCCGCGTGGGAGTTGTCCCTATTGATTTAATTCTAGCCATCCAGTGACGCAATGCCGTGGAGTTGAACGCTCGGCCGACAAATAATCCAGCGGCGAAAATCCCAAGGGGTTGTTTTCCTTATTTTTGTTTTCATTTCGACGGTCCTTGGCAGCCGAATATATGGGAATTTCTGGCAGTCGAGGGCGCCACAATGACTGCGCATAGTTTTATGTACTGTATCGGTTTTATGTTAGTTTTCCACGTTGTCATTGCTGGTTTTGGGCATCTGTTTGTATCCCCACTGCAGCCGGGTATCATGACCTAGACAATTTTCGGTGTGCCTAGATTTCTATCTACGCGAAGGTCAATGCGGCGTATACTTAACATGTAATGAGATAAGCCCTCATTAGCATATAATGAGTAATAGGGGCTTATGCAGAGAGAAAGATAGAAAGTTCCACGCTACTCACATCTAATAATACCGAAATGAGACGACTTTGACAATGACTCAACTTCAATGGCTGGCAGTACACAAAACAAGACAACAAGCTGACCTGAAGCGCTTGAATTTGGCCAGCTGGCTAATATTAGTCAACAGCTTGGCGGGCAAATAAACAAAGCAGAGTTTAGTCCTCAAACAAAACATGCCCGCACTCTAGTTTGTTAGTTTTCTTCGGTGTTGGACACGAAACGGATGGGGAAAATGGAGTTGCAAGGTTGCAAAAATGGGGCTGATGATGTGCCAGAACTTTCCTGGAAGACATTGAATCACTTTTAGCTGAGCCCGAATCAAATTCAAACATTTTCACGAGCGAGATATTCGCAAGCAAATATCGTTCATCAACGCCAACTGAGTCAACACCATGAGGTAATGCTTCCAACTCCGGACTATTCAGGTCGGGAGCCGTCTTTGTCCATATCTCGGTACATGGAACATGGAAAATCGCTTGTGTTAACAAGTGCGTTGTGCACTTGAGCCTGTCCTCTGCTCGATAACACAATTGGCATGCTTTGTCCCACCGTTTTGACCCACTGATCGTTGTTACGGGGCATTTAATCAGCATGAGCTGAAAATGAGCAGCACTTTGCCACTTCACTTGCCAGTGGGAACATCCAACTACTTCCTAGTCAGGCCGACGCACACAAACATGGCCAATTGTGTCGGCCAATTGAGTCTTCAACCGAAAGAAAGTGGCGAAAAGATATGGGATGGAGAGCGAACCACTCACCCACAAGTGGGTGTCTTGAGCATCAATTTATTGTTGCGAATTGAATTCCTCAATTAATTTCGATGGCTTTTCTAGGAAATCACTTGAGGGGGCGAGCACACACTTTGTCACCAGATTGCTAATTTTTATAGATCGTTAGGCTTAAAATATTAATAGCCTGTGATGAAAGAAATTTGGATGGCAAAAATAAGTTTATTACGATTTTTTAATGAATGAATTTGTACACAGGAAGAGAACTTGAGCTGTGGACAAATATTTACCAGTAGAGACTAAAGCAAAATCATGTCTTCTTTAAAAAGTAAATAAACACTTTTGGCTTTGTTAGTTTTTGTGGTTCTAGACATTAATTTCATCATAAGGTAAATATTGTATTCGATAACTTGCTAACAGAAATTTATATTTACATTATCTTGAAAATTGTATTATTTTTAAAAGAGCCGCCAAAATTTGAAATCAAATTGAACTGGTGGCAATACTGGCCAATGATTGTGCAGCCCTGGCCAAACGCCATTTAGTATTATTTGGTGTTGCCACACCAGCCGCATACGGTCACACTGAAGATGCAATAATAAATCCACGAGACAAATTTGTTAACAAATTATAGTAAATATCGGCAGTTATTTACGATTAGAAGCCACAATGGACAGCAGCAATGACTTGTCGGACGAGCTAATACGCCGCCTCAGTGCTAACGATGCCCTGGGTAAGTGGGAAAATGCCATTTCCCAATTGGGACGCACCTGTTGTTGCACCAAAATATTAATTGTAAACAATTTGCAGAGAGAGTGATTGCCAGTGAAATGTTCGAGGATAGCATCGATGTGGAGACAGAGGCGGAGCCGGACGACATAATCATCTTACACATGGACATCCGGGAACCGCTCAGCGCGCTCAAGTGAGTCTGGCGAATATAACCCCTGTCTGCCATGCAAATAACCCTCATTTTTTACACATAGATCACTTGTTGAGCAAAAAATAGGGGTGTGCCTGAATTACTATACCTTTTGGCTGCAGGATGCACAAGAGGTGAGTCTATCTGCAGGATAATAAAGTGTTTACTTAAGCGCCCAATCTCGTGTAGCTGGAATCCCACAAGAATCTCGTGGATCAGTGCGTTAAGGGAGAAGGCCTGGTGCAGATCAACGTGCAGATACAAACTATTCGCAAACGCATCAACATCGCCGATGTCCTGAAGCCCACGGAGGCAGCTCTGGCTGCCATGGCCGAGGAGGTGGCGGGTCAGCTCTCGCCCCCGGAAACGGCCAGCCAGAAGAGTTCCTCCAGCGAAAGTCCCATCAAAACTCCAATCAAACGCAAGCACAAAGAAGACTCTGAAGAAGAATCCGTTGAGTCCAAGGATGTTAAGCCAGTCTTGAACTGGGTTCTGGACAGCAAGTTTAAGCGCGAACAGATACGCCTGAAGATACCCGAGGCGGCCATCGAATGGACACAGTCTCACGTGACCCACTGGCTGGAGTGGGCCGTCAAACAGTTCGAGCTAAGTGGCATCAACATGAGCGACTGGCAGATGAATGGTCAGGAACTCTGCGCAATGACGCACGAGGAGTTCAATCAAAAGTTGCCCCGTGATCCAGGCAACATCTTCTGGACCCACCTCCAGCTGCTAAAAGAGTGCAATTTCGTATCGGTGGTGCACAAACAGGCGGAGGAGCAGAGGAAGCCCAAGCAACCGAGAATCATGTCGGCAACTGCCATATCGACTACCTCAGGGGGCACCCTTTCCCTCGAACAGCGGATTATGCGCAAATCTTACCAAGCCGTCAAGAGTTCCGATTGTAAGTAGGGAAGAAAATTACACCAAAGCTTAAACTAACATTAACTAATTCGTTCACAGCCGCTGAAAATACTCCGACATCTATGAGTCCCACAAATTACACTACCATCGGTTCCGGCAATAATGGACAAGTGCAACTGTGGCAGTTCCTACTGGAAATACTCACCGACTGCGAGCACACGAACATCATTGAATGGGTGGGCACCGAGGGAGAGTTCAAGCTTACTGATCCGGATCGGGTGGCACGCCTTTGGGGCGAGAAGAAAAACAAACCCGCCATGAACTATGAAAAGCTGTCAAGGGCTCTCCGCTACTATTACGATGGGGATATGATCTCCAAGGTGTCCGGCAAACGATTCGCATACAAATTTGACTGCGATTTGAAGTTATTGATCGGCTACGATGCAAAAGAGCTGTCCCGGCTGGTCAACGAGCGCAAGGTAGTGCCCGAGCGCGTAGTCCCAACGGAAACCATGAAAGAAGACACGTGACATGGCGAGCTCAAGCTCAAGGAAGAACCCGACATACTCTGGAAGTACGAGGAGCCTTAGCGTTGGCTGACTTGGTCGGATGACGGCGCCTGGTTAATATTACAAATTGTTACATATTTTACAATCTTAAGGCACACGATTTTATTATCCATTTCGTATTCGCTAGGGTTTATAATCTCTGTCTACATAAGGTATAGCTATAAGAATCGCTTTTATACTCTTTATCATCTTAGTTATTATTTGAATAGTATTTCTATAGTGTGTATATTGAATATTGTTCGTTACATGATTGTTGCGATTTTTGTAAAATCCATAAAACTAAATTCATTTCCACGCGATTTCCATTTGCATTTGCTCCGTCTCCTCGGCATCGTTGTGTGTTGATGGTTTTGTTTGTGATTTTACGTGACTAGTTTGCTTGCTTAACTGATCTAACTAAGCTCTAAGCATGGGCATTTAGCGCCTCCGGCTAAATGGGCTCCCAGTTAGCTTGTCGATGGAGTTGAATGATGATGATGGCCTGGCGGAATGTGCACGCAAATGCCTCTTTTCCCCAGCTGAACTGGCACTAGACTCGAACGGCTAGCGCCGCCAGCCGGGGTAATACTTATTTTTGATTAAGTTTTGAGTATGAGTTTTGTGATGCAGTTACAGCTCCGTGGTGATCTCGTCCTGCGGTCGAAAGCCCAGCTTGTAGAACTCGTCCTCCAGCCACAGCGAGCTGGCATTGAGATCAGAGATGAGATTGCCGCTCTTCAGCGTGTTGAAACTGCTGCCGAAAGGATCCGAAGCCCGTGGCTCCTCGAACTCGTGCAGGCTGATCAGCGAGCCAAACAGGTGCAGCTTCTGCTGCGCCGAGGCACTGCTGCTCCGATCGCCGGCCATCAGTTCGCCCACTCCCTGCGGCGTCGCCGTGGGCGTCACCTGTTGCCGGAAGATGCTGGGCTGCTGCAGTTGCTTCTTCTTGTTTGGCGCAGCGTAGAGCACCTCGTGGTGACCACCACTGTGACCGTGTGAGGCCTGAAAGAAGTCGATGAGCTGGCCCACCTGAGGCTTGTAGCGCTCCAGGGCCTGCTCCGACCAGGCATACAGCCTGGACCAATCTGGCGGCGGGGCGGGAATCAGTTCAATGGGTCTGTTCAGCAGAATGAGCAGCTTGGCCAGATCCCGGACTATGGGCCTGTACGAGTTGGCAGCCGCCACTTCACCGGACAAATAGAGCTTCCTGATCTGCCGTCGGGTATCGTTCAGCATGGCCAGAAAGTACTCCGCGTTCGGACGCATCTCGTTTAGCTGCCTCATAAAGTCCGCCCGATCCATGGTATTCTCGTTGATCAGCTTCTGTTTGATGGACTTTCGCCGCCTTTTCCTTCTGACCAACATCACCGCGACGGCCAGAAGGGACAGACAAACGAGGAAGCCACCGAGAAGTCCGGCCAGTGCGGCCATCAGTGGTCCAGAATAGCCGGTGGGCACACACACCCGACCCATGAACTCCGTGTGGGCGGACCACTGGTCCAAGTAGCCGGCGGGGCACTGATCCACGCACTGCCTCGTGTCCGTCACCAGGTACATCGGACATTTGATGCAGCCCGCCTTGTTGCAGCGCAGGCAGTGGGAACTCGTAGTCAGCGGGCAGCCTGGGGAGGAGAAAGATGCAAACGGAACTGGGTTAGTCACTCTGTGGGTCATTATGGCTCCCTCAATTAGCGCTGATCAGCATAATTGTCCCCTCATTTGCATAGGAGCACACAAGTCACAGCACTCCCACAGACAATTGTCCACGTTAATGCCGACGAATTAAATCATTCCCAGACTTTTCGGGAAATACACTAAAAATACACTAAACAAACACTTCTAGGATTTAAGTATAAGTCTATTCCCTGAATTCACATAATAAGTTGGTATATAAAAAACCGAGGCGTGCTTATTCTATTTATTTATTCATATATTTTGAACCACGAACAAAATATCTCAAAATTATTTCAGTGCAGTAACTATAGTAGCTATAAATCAAATATGTACATCTAATTGAATGTGAAACTAGGTACTATTTCAGGGTAATATTCCAACACTCCCCACAGCATTCACATGGACTGCAAATAAGACGACGATCCCTAGCGAAGCCAGAGCAATTGAACCCTAACTATGATGTCAAGATCTGTCCGCCCTGAACACATGACATATCTCAAACATCTTTGTTTGCCATAGATCTTGGCATGGCTCTGGGGCTTTTGTGTCGTCGCTTGTTTCTCTACGAATTCAAGGTAACGTCAACAAACAGTGTTTGACTTTTGGCTGCCCAAACCCAAACAACATTAGCATATCGCCACCCCCTGTCCGCCCTAAAAAGTGTTGGGCAAACAGAGGAGGAGATACATATACATATTCTAGGAAGACGACGAAAACTGGGAAAGTTCAACATGGTACAGGCTCTTGCCAGCGGCTTCGGCGGCTAAAACTTCGTCAAGATCAAAAGCTTGCCAAGCCGCCGCCAGTTTCTGTTGTCAACCGACCACGACGAGAACGACAGCGACGACGAAGTCGAAGACGCACCGAGACTCCCAAACAGGCCAGAAGTTGGGCCTTATCTGAAGGAGCCCCTGCCCAATATATCTTGATACTGGATACCCAATGAAAACAATAACATCGCACCACGTACGCATCCAGATCCAGATCGAGGCGGTCGGCCCCCATTGCAATGCACTTGGCGTCTGTTCAGGTGGCTCAGCATCGTCATCATCAATGGCATTAACTTGTTTATGCGCTAATCAGACACACACATCCCCCAGGCGGGAGTTGGATCTGGAGTCCCATACCCCAGATCTGGGATGGATCTTGAATCTTGAATCTGGAATCTGGAATCCTAAGAGCTGTGGCCATGATCGCGACCATGGCATTGCCCATGGCAATGGAAATGGCCAATTCCCAGGCAGAGGCGGATAATCAGATGTAATTCGTAATTGATATTGCTCAGTGGTCAGTGGTCAGTTGGCCAGTGTTTTGTCTTTCGGTCGTTCTTTTGGTATTCCAGCTCGATCCGAGCTCTGGGGACTGGGCGTGCAGTTGATCAATGATAATTGGTTATTAAATGGATGATTGCCTTTAGTCCGCCTGTCAATGCCGACTTACAATTCCAATTCAATGCATTCAATGTGTGCACCTTCCGCAGGTGATCATGTAAATGTTCTGCAATTGCAGACTGCCGTGATCTTGAAGCGATATAAATAATGATATCGATTGGTCGGTTCCGTGGATAGCGCTCAATGCTACAGACTATATATGGCAAATCAATTTGTCCATTGCTATGAACTCAAGCGCAATCCTCGAGGAGATCAGATCAAAGATAGAGAGGCAGATGGGCCAATTTGCCGCATAACGATGGAAAAACTCAATACAATCGATTTTTATTCCCCCATTCAAACTTCGGTACTAAATTATGCCATGATTAAACAATCTCATCAAATTCAACTTTTATAATTCAGGACCAGCCCATCTTCAGCCACGCCCAAGACTTAAATTTCTCCTCACCTGCTGCAAAATGATTGACTAAATAAGCGGCTGTAGGCATACAGCAACCATAAAACCCTGATGACTACAACTATATTTACGTTCATCACCATCATGATCATCAGTTTTTGGTGTTTGGGAAAGGCAAAGAATTAACAGCCCGAAAGGCATTGTTTAAACTTTCTTTGGATGACTCACAGAATCTGCGGACCAACTCTCGGATTTTAGCTTCTAGCACATGATGTGCCAAGTATCTAGGCGTGTCAGCAGATATAGACACAGGCACCAAACACAACACAACACAACACAAAAAACATATAATCGCCAAATTACTTTCACTCAAAACAAACAAGACAGAAGGCAGCAGCCAGCTAGGGCCATAAAAAGCGAAATAAAATGTTTATCGGACAATCACCATCAAATGAAACACGCATAAAGTAAATTCATTAGATCACTTTATAACGCGTACATCTAGATAATTGAGTACCCAGCGAGGGGAGTGGAGTGGAGTGGAGCGGAGTGGAGGGTGGTTCTCCGGCTCTATTGGACCGCGCAAAGGCTCAAGGTCGTTCCAAATCAGAGGGTTCCGCCGACAGAATGTGGAGCTGACAAAATGTGGAGCTGTCGCACACACAGCGCAGCTCGATTCGCTGATCGTCGATCGTAAATTGTAATTTGCTGCCAGCATAGACAATGCCTGGTCACTGTCATGGATTTTATACTCGGTACTCGGGGAACTCAAGGGTATGAGCTACTTGGAGTAATCGAGATATTCGTAGACCCAAGACCTATGAAACTTTTTAGCATCTTAAAAGAGTTTATTGATGACTATCGTTTGAGTAAGAAAACCAGTTTTGAGCTCCGAATAATAACCAAAATCGTATCAATCCCAGGTATCCGATAGTCGCAACCCCCAAATACAGGCGCTCATACACTTTTTTAGGGAAAAGGCGAGGCGAGCACTTGGCTCTTGTCTGTCAATTAGGCATTTGACATTTGCATAAATGTTTATGCAAAAAGCGACAAACAGAACGCAGCAAAAATAAACAAACAATGTCTCTATGCAATGGCCAGAGTAAATAAGTATTACGAAAAACAAATGGCATACTTTATGAGCCACTTCCTTCCACCCACTCCACCTCGCACCGCACACTTCTACATCCCCGGTTTTGGCAAAGAAAATGCTTATGCAATGCGAAATTAGCTTTTTGCCATCAGCAGTAATTCAATTTCTTTTATGTGAAGAAAGTATTTTCGGCCACACAAAAAATGTAACCCAAAAAACCGAACAAAAACCGGACCAACTGAGGCTGCGCATGCGCAAATGGCGTTTATTAAAATAACGGTACTTAAGTGCGCCCTAAGCAAACTGCACTCAACTCGAGACTCCAACATGCAACTCACAAAAAATGGGGCAAGGGGCAAGCAAAAGCCGACAAAAAATAAGGCAAAATAAATTGAGAATGGGCGGACCTGGGACGATGGGCATCAGCAAACGAAATCGACAGAACAAAGACCTTTAATCAGCATTTTTGAGGGACACCACAGAAGTGGAAATAATATGAGAGCACAACTTTGGCCAAAGAAGCGTTTGTGTTATTCTATGGAAATTGGGTGTCATATAAGCAAATTTAAGAAGAGAAATGTAAACAAATTGCCAAGAATTTGTTTGAGTTCTGTGACTTTGTTTATAACAAACGCCTTTTATTTAAATCAACTCGAATATCATCGCAAAACTTTAGCCGTAGTGTTTTTGTTGACTCAACTTGCCTTTGATTTGATTTGATTTGGTTTGGTTTGGTTTGGTTTGGTTTGGGTATCATGACCAAGCTCTACACACCCAGAGTTTGGTTCATGAACTCCCAAAATTGCTACTAGTCATAAATATACGACTCAAATGCGATTCACTGCACCAAGGAGCGCCGATCTGTCCCGCCCTTTCAACTCACTCCATGCTTCAATTGCGTTTTTAATTGCCAATACATTTCAAACACGTCAAATGACAATTTATTATGAAGTATTGTTGGTTGTTTTTATTGTCATTTCGCCTGTCTCAAAATTATAGGCTTGAAATCTTTTATTTTCTGTAGATTTTGTTCGCGGTCTTGTGATAAATTGCCAGCCAAAATACCCAAAACAAAGCAAGAAGGCTTTTTGCATTTGCTGGTTTCAAACATCCGTTCGATTTTTGTCATGATTGTCACGATTTACTTGCTGAACAAAAAAGACTTCGACTGGGATTCAGTCTGATACTCAGACTCAGACTGAGTTGAAATTGGATTTTTGTTATTTCTTTAGATTGTATTTTGACTTTGGCTGTTCGACCAGTAATTAACATTCAGCTGACCAAACAGACTTTGTCCACTATTACGTGTCGAAAATGATTTATGTAATATACTCGTATAAGAATAATATTTCATTGAAATCTTATGTGTTTTTATCTGCAAAAAGTACAGATTTAAAAGGCCAACCAAACAGCTAGCAGATCCTAATTCCAAGTTCGGTATGGACAGCACATGAAAATTCTTCATCAACATCCATAGATCTAGAATCGAAAAACCAAAGCCAAAGATTTTGGGCCGGCTAATTGCACGCGACGTGAACACGACTTGAATTTATGGCCAAAGCTTTCGGCATGTGGCCAAATTAACACCTCAAAAGTCGGCAAGGTTTCCATTTCGATGACTGGTGACAGATATCGGGAAAACAGATTTTTTTCACTTATTTTTTTTTTGTTTGTCGCAATTTTCCTCGCTCTTTTTGGACTGGCCAGGCCAGTTGGCTGCCAATTGGCAACATGTTTCAAGCCATAAAAATCAAATTTACTACCGCAGCTGTCGGACTGTGGCCGTAACCATATGGAAGTGGAAGTGCTGCTTAATTTACTGCCCAGCGATCAGTGATCATGCGTTGCAGTTGCCCACTTCGAGTTGGTTTGCTCTCTAATTGCCGGCGCAGCGCGAATAACTTGACATAAATGCATGTTGAGTTTAATTGTTTCATGTAGTCGCAAGTTCCTTGGGGTAACCAGCTCAGCTCCAGGCCCACACACAGCGGAAATTCTTGAGGGGAATGGATATGGATGGAGGACAGTCACAGACAAGTAAGTTCGAAATTCTTATGGAGAAAA